CGCAGTGTCATCTTTCGATGGGCATTTCGACAGACCCAGCTGATCGAAAACAACCTTCAGCTTTAATGGCTGACATTAATGAAACAAGGGTGTCGAATTTAAGAGCCAACACACCCTTTCTATCCGTGGTTATCTATGGTCTCTTAGGTACTTGCTCATTGTGTTTTCAAAAAGTTTGCTTTTCTTTGTGTTTGTGGGTTTGAAAAGAGTTTTTGTTTGAAAGGAGTGTAAGTGCGAAAAGTTTTGTTTTGTTTTTAAAAGGAGCAAGTACTTAAGAACCATCTACCTACTCAAAAAGGAATTAAACTGTACAAGTGTCCTTTAGACAATGCTATCCCACTATTGAGGAGTAGGTAGCATCGTCGTTGGGGTTTTCGGGTCAATTCGATTAAGGGACGTGTGGTCACTAAAGCAATGTTAGGACGCCTTAGAGGTAACCCTAATGTCTTAGATCATTTTATCTGAGGCAACTTATGATCTTTGGACAAGAGGGCGACCTCTAAAACTTCCTATACTCAATGACCACGTTCGAGGTAACCAAGTGAGGTGTACCCTGAGTGGCACGTGCGAGTGTGTTATTTTCAGTTATTTTTATCTGTACATGTTAATGGTGAGCTACTGTTGATTTTAGGTTAAAGATTTATCTTGTCATGCATTGCCTATTTATCAAACATCTAACAGTCAATAGTCGCGGAAAGTAAATTGCGGAAAATAAATCTAAGCTATTACAAGGCGTCGGGTATTTACATCGCCAAAGACAAACCCTTTTGAAATTAAATTGCGAAAAGTAAATAAAAGCGACAAATAAATAAATACAGTCCTAAGTTAAAAACTATTACATTCCCGAAGCAGTTACAATATTGAAATATGGATCAAAAATAATACGCGCGCGAGAAAATTAAATCGGAGTGTCTTAGGCTTTTGACCCTTTTTATTAAATAAAGCATATTTTTTGTTATTTTTGAATTAAAAATTAGTCTAAATTAATAATTGAATTAATTAATTAAATGAAAATATTTTTGGGTTTTTTATTTTAATTAATGAAATAAAATAAGAATTATTAAAAATATTAAAACCTAATTCTATATTAATTTTAATTTAATGCAAAAGATATTAAAATTGTACATAATTAAAAACTAATTAAATTAATTGACTAAAGTTTATTTACAAAATAATGAAATAGTGAAATTAATAAAAATATTATTTTTGTTGTTTCTGATTTTTTTATGAAAAAAGTTAATTGGTTAATTGATTAATTAAGATAATAATAATAATAAAATAAAAATAGGAAAATAATGAAACGAAAATAAAAAAGGACAAACTCAGGGGGTATTGGGCCCAAAGAGGGAGTATGATCAGTAATTTCCAGGCCCATTTTCGTCTCAGCCTATTTGACTTTTGGAATCCACTGCGTGCTTGTTGACCAAGGAGTATCATGGGCGTGCAATCTGGGCCCCTGGATCTGATCTGAGACCACCTGGCTAGCATCTGGAGAGGGGTGTATGATGAGCTGCATCATAGGCGCCACATGTGGACACCTGAAGAAAAATCAAATAAAGTTTTGGGGGGGGCGCCTGGGATTCGAACCAGGTCCCAAGGGATTTTCCAATAGCACGCTCACCAATCCAACCAGCTTGTTCAATTGTTATTGGAATAGAACATAAATATTATATTCAAAACAACTAATTATGCCCTACAAAAAAATAAAAACCCGCTAATAATTCAAACAAGCCAATGGACGCAAGCCACGTTATCATCTTCCTCAAATAACCCTGGTTATTTACCTGCGAATTCTTATCAACGGGAAGATTCGTAGGGCATCTCAAAAACCTTCTCCAGGCCATGTAAACGAAATCTAAGAGTACCATTGAGTCCGTCTCTTCCTCCTGGTCATCCTTATACCCATCATTAGCATTGATTTTGCCTGTATCAAAAAGGCCTAAAAAACAAGAACAAGAACCCTAGGATCGGGCATCACAATAAAGGCCATGAAAATCAAATTAAATGATGCAGACACGTTGGAAATTATACAAGGATCAAGATTATGTCAATAGTTTATCAAAAGGATGCAAGAATGAATGGTTTCGATTTCATGTTCAAAGCCGTTTTCAAGAACACTTACAACGCTTTTCAGATAGCTTCAGGCCTTGGCTTTGGTTGCTATAGCTCCAGGAGATTGCAAGCAAGAACACCATGTTGTGATTTTGGATTGAATTGGCCTCCAATGTTGATTTCGATCTTTACTTTTTCAAGCTTTTTCTCAAACTTCTTCTTGCCGTTTCAGCAGTGTTTTGTGCCTCCTCTTGCTTTGTGTGACTTGTGTGAATGTTATAGAATTAATTTAGGTCAACACTTGGGCCATAATCCATGTGCATTCAAGGTTTTGAGATTTGATATGATCACCATTATCAAGTTTCCAAATATAGGCCAAATCTGATTTTTTATGCATGAAAAGACATGATACGAGTTTGATTTGATTCATGATGATAATTGAAAATTGTACCAATCACAAAGATATTATTTCATCAATTTTTAGATTTTATTTGATTTAATATTGATTAAAAATGAATTAAACCAATAAAAATTAAATAAAATAGAAAATAAATGAATGGCCATGAAACCAAGTATGGGACACGTGTGTGGCATGACAAGACCATATCAAGTGGAAAAAAGTGGACCCTTTTGTCAAAAATTGGAGTTTTGAGGATAGTTGACTTTTGGAAAATTTGGAAAAATGCCCAACATCAACAATGCATAACTTCTTCAATTTTGAACTTTTGGAGGTGTTCTTGGACTTTTTAGAAACATTGAGATGTCCTATAATCCACCCTTTTGGTCTCATCTCATTTTGATGTTCCATGCTCAAGTTATAAGCTTTGGCAAAAAAGGTGTTTTTGTTGACTTTCAAAAATGACCTATAATGTCCAAATTTGTAACTTTTTGTGAGAGAATTTATTGATCTTTGAGTGTGAAGATGGATTGTAGGAAATTGCATCCTCTTAAAAATGAGATTTGGATGGGTCATTTATCATAAAGTATGAGAAAGTTATGCTTGGTCAAAGTTGAGTTGACTTTTCCTGCAAAACCCTAATTTAGCAACTTTTGAATCTTGATGAATCTTGAGCAATCCTTGATGAATCATGATCAACCCTTGATCAAATTATGAATTATCCTTCAAAATGAGAATTTTGACAAAAAAAACTTGAGGTTTGACTGTATTTAGGTCACAGTTGACTTTTGCCCTAGCTCAGTCGATTTTGGGGCCTCTTGACTCGCAAATAAGCAAGAGTCTCCATCGCACTTTATTATTTCCAAGGGAAAAGGGAAAATAGCAGAATAAAACCCTTAAATATGCAATGTAAAGTAATACTTAAAAGTAATGAAAATACAATGTGTTTTGAAAGAGATCGAGAGTTTGGGGGTTGGTTATACAACGGGAAGGTACTAGCACCAAATGCATCTGCAGTAGTCCGCATGAACCTTTTGAAATATCTGTTTTTTGGTTAAAATTTGTTTTGGTCAAAATGGGTGTGGACAAGATTTGGAAGATACGACGACCTAGTATCGAAGTTTTGACTTAAAAGATGTGAGTTTTAAAATTGAATCTTTTAGGAAAATTAACTTAAGGTTGACAAAACTAATAAAACAAAATTGAATGAAGATATTCACACAATCGTATAAGACATATTTGATGACATGAAGTTAACAAAGTTAAAACATTTCACTTGGAATTTAAACGGACGAAATATATAAAGATTGAACGATCGAGAATAAAATTAATTAGAACGACAAAAATAATAACAAAAATTCAATAAGATATTAATTTATACACATATATTTTTAAACAATTAAATAAATAACAAAAATTAAATAAAGACTAAATTATAATAACATGTACTTAAATAAATAACAAAATTAAATAAAAGACTAATTTACTAGCATGTATTTAAATAAATAACAAAAATGAAATAAAAGATTAATTTACTCATGTATTTTTTTATTCTTTTTAGATAGACAAAATAACCAATAACTAAATAATCTAAATCATTCTAATAAGATAACACAAACTAAATAAATAAAACAAAACTAAAATAAAAACTAGTTAACTAAATAAACAATGTCCTGGGCTGCAAAAAGAATTAAGAATGAGAACATGCCCACTAAAGGGGCGCTTGGATAGTCCGCAGGCGGGGGGTGTGCTAGCTGCAAGGTGTCCAAAGCATAAGAATAAACAAACCAGAAAGAAAAGATTATGGGTTGGACCAGTCCAACCCGGTTTAGGAAGGGACAAGGAAATCTCTTTGGAACCCTAAAGCAAAAGAGGCGCCGCTGTCATCCTTGGGAAGAGGAAAGGTCAAATTATTATTATTTCCAGTAAATCCATTCCCTATACCTTATCTTAAAAAAACAAAATTGAAATAATCTCTCTCTCTGAATCACCTTCATCATCTCTCTATATCATTCTGCAACACTCTCACTCATCTTTTCCCTATTTCTCTTCACAGCACCTTCAATATCAAATTTCTCAACAAATTCACTCTCAATTTCATCATCAACTTCTCCTCTTCTTTTTCATCGTCATTGTCATCTTTATCCTTGGAGATTGTTGCATTGTTACCGAAATTAGCTGTCTTCTTCACGGGTGTGTGCGGTTTGCGAAAACAAGGAATTTGAAGGTGGAATCTCTGCGTCTGCGGCCGGATCTTGTTCGGTTCCGATTGGGGATGAAGATTGTGCGAGCGGAAATAAGTATATGTAGAGATGTGCGGAAACATAGGTATAGTGGAAATCTAGTGATGTAATTTGAAGTACTGGAAAAAATAGAGGTTGCGGTTGTGATTCTTGCTATCAAATTGCAAGGTTATTTATGAGTTTGCCAAGATTTTTCTCTGTATGTTTTGTTTATAATTAGTTATGGAGTTTAAAAAAAATGTTTTTTTGTTCGTAGGAATGTTAGCAAGAAGGCATTAAAACAAAGGTTCAAACAAACAATCATACAATCATACAAGGAAGTTAAATGGCAAGAGTGTAAATGGCTTACCTTGTGATAAATATGCAACTGAAAATAATGGGTTTATAACTGTTCTCGTCACCCAAGGAAGACCAGCAGTTGTGACTATTGTAACATGTCTTTCATTGTTATAGAAATCCTGCTTTGGACGGTCTGTCCAGAGTCCACCTTCATACCGGTGTCCTGTGCTCTGAATGTAGTAGAAGTTGGTTCTTGCATTTTCTATACAAGCTCTCAACTATCTTGTCGCATATATCTCTGTTGACTCCATGTTGGTCCAAAAATGGCCCAGAATGTTTAACAAAGTAGGCCAAGAGTTCAAGTACATACAGTGGTGGCACTTCCTTTGATTCCTGGTTTTTTTGGTAGTGAGATTTCTGTCTGTGTTGTTAGTGTTATGTTGCAGAAAGATTGGAGGTGTGGCAGCTGCTAGCTAAACTGCCAATTCTATGTGCATACTGTGCGCTATTTTGATTCTCTAAGGTGGATGATTTTTGAAGTGTGAAACAGATTTTGTACTTTTCTTGTATGTATTTTTCTACTGTATTCTTCTGTGTTATGATGAGAGATTTTGGATAGAACTTTCTGGGTGAGTTTTCTTGTTTCTCTAGAATTTTTCTATCAAAAAAAATGTTCCCCCTCCATTGTGATAAAGCTCTCTGTTATATAGTCTCAAGATTAAAATTTAGGAGGGAATTGAGTCCACTAAGAGCATTTCTGATCTATGCTTTATGGATGTAGGAATGTCTAACAGTTTTTTTTGTGCAATCTAGCCTAGCTTTATAGGTTTTTAGCATCATTGCAGCAGGGCTGATTTGGACCTCAAAGATAGTGACAAGCCAAGGTTTTAGAGCAGCAAAACAACAACAATTTTTGGAGTGTAGTATCATGGAAAGTTCCCTTTCTACTTTGTATTTTTTTATATATTTTCCATGTAACAATACATGTATCTTCCCTCTCTTTTTCTTTTGAAATTGGACTGATTTGGTCTTCATATGTTTTGTTGTTTTGGTGGACAAATTTGGGTGAAAATTTAAGCAAGGTTTGGATGAGTTTTGGGAGCTTAATGTCTTTTAGAAATAAGACTTGGTAGTTTTGAATTGATGTATTTGATGATTGAATTTGTAACTTTGATTATGGCATTGAATATTTGAATGAAATGCGAACTTTTAGTGAAACATGGTCTTGACTTTGTAACTTGTTACATTTGAATTCAAAATTTCCACAATTCCGAATTGTAGGCATTAGAAATTGGATTGAACTTTGGTCCCTTGTATTTGGACCTCTCTTGAAAAACATTCGCAACCTTGAATGGACTTTGAACTTGACATTTGAATTTTGAACATTGTCTTGAAAGTTGAATGATGTGGAACTTAAAATAATGAATGTTTGAATCTTGGCATAATGACCTTGAATCAAAAGGAATTTGTATAAGTTTTGAATCCAAAAGAAAATTCATATTAATGAGTTGCGCCTCGCACACATGAATCGATTTAAAAGAAATATTCAAATTGATCCTCAAATCTTCTTCTTTAAAACCCATATCTCCAATTTGTGGTAACTTGCAATACGAGCCAATAATAAAATTGTGCCTTTAAGAACTTTAATCAACAATCCACCTTAATTCAACCATCCCTAATGTTCAATTGCAAATGACTTGAATTAGCCAACAAGCAATCAAAGAATCATTGAACTAAAACACTAGTTTCATGAATTATCCCAACATAAGAATCAAACGTCCTTTGGGAAAACGTCTGTGGCATAAAACTGAACCAAGCACAATTTGAACTCGATCTTTGAAGTAATCTCATAGACAACGCTATTTTTGATACTTCACAAAAATAATAGCCTCAAGATGTTGAGAATTGAAGAATTTATAACCCTCGAAATTTGGACAAGAGTTTCTTGTGATTAGGTCAAATTTTCAAAATGACCTCTAAAGTATTCAAATTTTCGATGATCCTCCACACACAATAAACTCTTGACTTGTAAAGAGAAGTGGGAGATGACGTCAAGGAGAGTCATACACAAAAGGAACCACTCAAAAATACGGAATAATGAAGAAATTATGATTCTTTGAACTTGAACTGGCAAGAGTTGACTTTTGGTCGAAGTGCATTGAATCGTCTCAAATAGCCTGATCTTTTCTTGCATTCCAAGATGCATTGAAGCATATGTGAACCAGTGATGATGAAATCTTGTCTATGATCTGAGGAAGTTATGCAGAAGCTTGAGACCACTTGTCGAACAAGGTGTGGAAATAAACACACGATCCTCTGAAGTTCCAAAAGACATCTTTGATCAAAAGGAGATTGAACGATGCTTGAGACTCTATGCTCTAAGATTAGAGGTTGTGCCTTGATGAATCAATCTAACAGAATCCACAATCAATCGTACTCCTGGCTTGGGAGACTCAAAACCCTAATTGAGGCGCGAAACCTGATGCTCTTGATTCAGACATGTCTCTGCACATGAAACAAAAGAAAACACGAAAATACACCTTTGTATGCGATTAAAAGTTAATGATACATAGGCTAAAAATGTTTAAAACACTTGACAATCTCTGCATAGTCAATTCTCAAAGGTGAGAGGTTAAAACCGATCGTATTTCATGACCTTGACTTTTTGTATAAAATGCAAAATGAAAATGCGATCTTAGGGGAAAAATTGGGGTATGACAGCTGCCTATATTTAAGTTTCTTCTATTCAGAGATATGAAGATATCGACGAGATTGAAGGGACTTCAATATATAATACATAATTATTGGCCTTAAGATACCGCAATTGTGTTTATGATATGATATGAATGTAATATTTGAATCTTATGTGGAATGATGCCGCATGAGACAAACTAATGTTGGAGAAACCAAGCACGTGATAAAATAGTCCACAACAGAAGAGATTATAACTCTACTAGAGAGACAGAGCCACAGACTTCGAATGAGAGACTCCTATTGGGGAATAACTTTGAACGAAAACAATTTTGACTCTAACAAAGAAAACGCCATGCATAGGATACAAAAAAAAGATGGCTACTGACTAGAGATGAGGATGAGTTTACAACTCAGGGTCAAAGGTATACAAAAAGATACACCAACTTTTACCGATAGTGAACTATCGATTTTTACTGAAGGTGAAACAAAGATGCACCGACTTTTACTAAAGGTGAAATACCAACTCAGGGTTGATGGTATGACAAACAACATAATACTGACTCAGAAACGACAATGAATGTCAGCTTTGAGACTGGTGAATGAATAATTGACATCAGCACTACGATTGGGAATGAAATGATTTACATTAGTACTGCAACTGGAGAAAGAAATGATTTGCATCAATACTGAGACTGGGAAATGATTGGCATCAGTATTGAGACTGGAGAAAGCTCAACTCTATTAGGGCAAAGTCTAATGAGGATAAAGTAGAAGATACTGACTAACAAACCAGTGACCAAAACTGTTTTTTCCTAACAAACACCCTAAATTCCATTTTTACCTCCTGACTTTATTTTTCATAATTTATTTTATTTTCTTTAATTTATTATTTTTATCATTATTATTATTATTATTATTATTATTATTATTATTATTATTATTATTATTATTATTATTATTATTATTTATTAAATCAAAAATTCCAAAAATATTTTTATTTATTATTTGCATTCAATATACTTATATTTTATTCCTTTAAAAACAAAAAGACAAAATACTTTTCTTATAAAAAACTTAATTTCTTTTTCTTAATAAACTAATAATTAGATTTAGGTTTAGTTATTTTCTTTTTTAATTAAAATTAACTTATAATTTAGGTTTTCTTTTAATTAATTAATTTCCATGCTATTTTGATTAAACTTAAAACCTTTTCTAAAAAACCCTAAAAATGATTTCTTGATTAATTTTATTTCTTTTAAACTAGGGTTTAATTTTACTTATTTTAATTAATTATTTTATTTTATTTAATTAGGTCAAAACCAAATCCTTTCCTCAAAAATCAAACAAAAATCCATTTCTTTTCCATTTATATCCTTGTACATTATATTCCTTTCAATTCTTGTACTTTATTCAAGTTTCAATATGGTTGTAATAGATAATTAGGTTTAACTTCTTGCAATCCTCATTTGTAAATTTGTATATCCCATCCCCCTAATGATTGTAATAGCGTAGTAAATTTACTTTCCGCAATTTATCGCTTTCATATCAATGCTAGTAAATTAGGGTTTGTATAGAAAGATAAAATCAATCTTAGAGAATACTAATCCAAAATAAATCAAGCATGGAATGAAAACACTTTCACACATGAACCCTTAGGGTAATTCCACTTGTTTCCTTATAAAAATAGTCATGTTATGCATGTGGGATCTCTTAGCAAAAACAATCAAAAATACAAGATCATAGTCTCTCGATGACGCTACGAATGTTGCCTTGCAAATGATCTTAGTCCCTCAAAGAGAAATGATAAGATATCTCACAACATTTCTATCATGACTATATGATGACCCACGTCCGTCCCTTTACATCCAAAGTTAAGGCTTCTTATCAATCAATGGTAAGATAGCAATATCAAAGGAAAGGAGAAATGAACAAAAGACTTTTGAGTAGGTAGAAACGTTCTTAGTTTCTTGCTCACTTTCAAAACAAACATCCTTTCTCACTTTTAAAACAAACACTTTCAAAACAAACACACACCAAAACACTTTCAAAACATGAAATATTTTCAAAAGTCCAACACTTTGTATACGTTCTTACGATGCAAATGAACCGATGCTTTAGTAAATGAAAATATGTTAATGAAATGACAACCCTAACAAATGAACCGTTGTGCCCCGGGTAAGGCATAAGTCTTAAAGTTATTGTTTTAAAAGTTACATAGTCAAAACTTTGAAAGAAACAGAAAATAGCAATTACTCCTGACTAAAGGAGATTGAGATAAGGTCTTCAGTCTTCCAGCTGCTGAGCCCATTTCTGATGGTGGGGAAAATCAAGTTGTCTAGGTCGTAGTCAATATCCACATCTTCTATCGCATTAACTATGTTGTTGATGACGCAGAATAGGGGTCTTCCAGCACGAGCACGAAGAACAACCTTCTGAGTCTCTGCAGTTAAACCCAAGCCAAATTTGTCAGATTTGTAAGGAATGTCAGGAAGTTGACCCCAAGTAGTGCATCCACCCTCTTCTACTACAACTCTAGCATCCTTCACAGAAGCCATTCTGGGCGGGACCCTGGTAACCTTACGAATAGCATAAACATCTTCAGTAACAGTAGTTGTTCGAGGGATCACTTCAAAAGTTTGGCAAGGAGTTTCAATGAATTCTTCGTCCATCTCCACATATTTGAATGAATTCAAGTGACCCACCATATACTCTTCACCATAAACTCTAACAACCTTTCCTTTTACGGGATATTTCAGTTTTTGATGTAAGGTGAAAGTAACAACACATGCCCCATGAATCCATGGGTGTCCCAGTAAACAGGAATAGGCCGGTCAGATATCCATTAAATAGAAGGTGGAATTGAATACATGTGAACCTACTCTAATCGAAAGATTCACCTCTTTGTGCTCCATCCTTTTTGAACCATCAAAGGCTCTCACCACAATTTCACTGGGTTTCAGCATAACCCCTTCACCATCCAGTCTGTCTAGAGCACCCTTCGGTAGAATATTCAACAAGGAACCCGTATCAAACAACACGAGCTAAAGTAGTGCCCATGTATTCAATAGAGACATGCATGGCCTTATTGTGGTTTCTTCCTTCAAGAGTCAAATCGACATCAGAAATGCCTAGCCCATTATTAGTAGTTAGGCTAGAAACATAACTTTCAAATTGATCGGTAGAGATTTCTTGTGGCACGTGAGCAGACTTCAAGAACTTCACCAAAGCCTGGGCAT